TTCCTCTCCAGGTTCCCTGGAGCAGCATCACTGAGTCAACCGTCCTCGTTGTCAGCCACCATGGGAGAAACCATCAAGATCACCTGCTCTGAGGGTAGCAGTGCCTGTGGCTAAGTCCAACAGAAGGTCCCTGGCAATGCCTCTGTCACTATGATCTGTGCTGGCACAAAGAGACCCTCAGTGGTGCTGGAGGATGTGGAAGTAACAGGGCTCCTGGCAGTAAAGAACTGTGCTGTGACTAATTGCTGCTGCCCTCCAAATGTCTTGTCCTGTGGTTGGTGCTGTTGCCCAGAGAAGCTGGGAGAATCCCTGTCATTATCTCTGGGCATCCTGCTCTGGTCCATGGGCTCTGTGCCACTCGTCTCTAGTGAGAGCAAGTGTGCTGAAGGGCCCTGTGTCTGTGTGAGAGGCTCTCCCCTGTGAGCATGGGCTGCCTTGGGCAGGGTACCATGCAGAAGCCCTGAAGGCTGTGGCCAGGACTGGAGGAATCTCTGGACCTGGTGGGAACTGTGGCAGAGGTGAGAGACAGCAAGGGCAGAATCCTATGCCAGGCTCTGCTCTCAGTTCCTCCAGCGCTGTCCCTGAGGCCCTTCTTGTCCCCACACGGTGTCAGTGTGGTTCCACTGCACAGTCTGAGGTTCAAGGGCTGCCAGGAGGCAAAGGGGCTGTGGACAACCAGGTGCCAGTGTGTAACGCCGTGGTGCAGATCCCCAGCTGGGGGCTTAAAAGCAAGTCAGAGTCTTCTCTCTCCTCTCACTCTCTGGGTTCCCTGGTCCAGGCAAGACTCTCAGCCATCCTCAGTGGCAGCCACTGTGGGAGACACTGTGAAGATCACCTGCTCTGGGAGTAGCATCAATTTGTATGGCTGTAGCAGCAGAAGGTCCCTGGTAGTGCTCCTGTAACTATATAACATCCCCTGTCTATGATAGCACCAAGAGCCCACAGACATCCCTTTGGAATTCTCTGGATCCCAGTCCAGCTCCATGGGCACATTAACAATCCCTGGGGCTAAAGCTGAGGACAAGCTTTTGTCCTTTTGTCCACCTATTACTGTGGTGGCAGGGACAGCAGTGGTGATGTCTGCGCTGTGCTGCCACCTCATGCTGATGGCAGCCATGTCCTCTTGCTCTGCCAGGTCTTTGCATGGAGCCCCAGGGCTCAGGCCTTAGGCTTGGCATGGGGCAGTGGTCCCTCTGTTCCACCAGGACCTTTGGGTTCAAGAGCCCCGACCCCCTGCCCAGACAAGGCTGTTCTCCTGGGACACTGGCTAACCCCCATCTTCTGCCCTCTCTCCATTCCCTTTCCAGGTTCCCTGGTCCAGGCAGCACTGAGTCAGCTGTCCTAGTTGTCAGCCAGCCTAGGAGAGACCATCAAGATCACCTGCTCAGGGGCTAGCAGCAGCTATCCTTATGCTGGCTGGTACCAGCAGAGGGTCCCTGGCAGTGCCCCTGTCACTGTGATCTACTGGAATGACAAGAGACCCTCGGACATCCCTTCGCGATTCTCCGGATCCAAGTCCGGCTCCACGGCCACATTAACCATCACTGGGGTCCAAGCCGAGGACGAGGCTGTCTAT